AACTTGAAGCGTTGGATGCGATTTTGAAGCTGAAATCGCGTTCGGTGTGAACGCAGCATTAGGAGTTCTCTTCAGGGAGTCAAATAACACTGCTAGCTGTTAGCTTTCAGCGATGCTAGCAGCTTGTTCAAGCTCAGACCTTATGCTACGTTCACACCGACCGCGTTTTGAGCATCTAAAACGTGCCTAATATCTACATGTAGGACAAAGTCAGGTGTTTTCAGACTCTGCGAACTGTTGGACATGAACCACTGGTTTAGGAAACACTGTTTGACTCTGTTTTCAGTGTGAGTAAATACACTTTCTATGCAAATGATCACGTAATGCTAGGGTTGGGCGAAAAATCGATAAATTCGAATTTGCCGTTTTATAAAGATTTAATTTTTGGAAAATCAAGTTTGTTTTCCCCCACCAGTGCACCCTTTGGGGCTTCAATAGTTCAGAGGTCACCCTACATGTCATGGCAGCTAGCAAAGAGGATCAACTTTTCAAAAAAGGCACTGTTTCTTCAGTTAACTGGAACTGATTAGGTTTTGCAACTTCGGACTTGGATCAACAATCACCTCACTGCAAAATCAGTTTGAAGGCTCTAACTACAAAAAGCAGAAGTTAGGGTTGGGCAATATTGGCAAATAAATTAATCGCGATTAATTGTGGTATTTAGCCGATAATTTGACAATTAATCCCCCGGAGTCCCTGGACACCCTTATGTCCTGGTCACATGACCAATTTATAGGGAGAAAAGTGGCTCTTCGTAAAAATCTGTTCCAAATTGTGTCAAAATTACAGAGTTCAGGCAATACACCAATCTTTAAATTGTGCTGATAGATAAACAAATTACGCAACTTTTTTAAAATATTTGTTATATTTGAACCAGAGAGGAGCACCTGGTCTGCCTGGTGGCATTAATCGTATTAATCGTCAAGTGCCAAAAATTAATCAATTGTTTTTCTGACGATTAATTGCACATGATACGATTATGCCCAACCCTAGCAGGAGTACAACAAATTTGCTTCGACACCTGAAACAGAGGCACTCCATTAATTCAATTCAATTCAGTTTATTTATATAGCGCCAAGTCACAACAGCTGTTGTCTCAGGGCACTGTACACATACACACATTTATCAAAAAGGAAAGTCTWCAGTCTAATCTTAAAAGTAGACAGAGTGTCAGCCTCACGGACAGAAACTGAAGTTTGTTCCACAAGAGAGGAGCTTGATAACTAAAAGCTCTGCCTCCCATTCTACTTTTAGTAACTTTAGGAACCACAAGTAAACCTGCAGTCTGAGAGCGAAGTGCTCTGTTAGGAAAGTATGGAACAATAAGATGTTTAATATATGATGGAGCTTGGTTGTTAAGAGCTTTGTATGTTAGGAGTAATATTTTAAATTCTATTCTGAATTTGACAGGGAGCCAGTGGAGAGAAGCTAAAACTGGAGAAATATGATCTCTCCTTCCAACTCTCATTAAAACTCTAGCAGCAGCATTTTGGATCAACTGAAGACTTCTTAAAGAGTTTTTTGGAGCCCAGATAATAAAGAATTACAGTAATCCAGTCTGAACGTGATAAATGCATGAATCAGTTTTTTTGCGTCATTTTTGGACAAAATATTTCTAATTTTAGTGATATTACGCAGGTGGAAGAAGGCGGTCCTGGTAACATTTTTAATGTGTGGGTTAAAAGACATGTCCTGATCAAAAATAATTAAGTGGGAAGCAAAATCGATTAAAATCAAAAATTGCATTTGGGCTGGAAAAAATCAGATTTTTTTCTTTTCTTTAGGCCATATCGTCCAGCCCTACTTAATGCTAACATGATCATAAAATAAAACTTAAAAAAGGGGCGACCCCATGAACAGCCCTGCTCGTCTCTCCTGAGAGAATTTGTTTTCCTGATAGTCCAAACTTATATGGCCCTGAATGATTCTTACTGCAGGTAACATATTGATTATTGATAACACCACTTTAATAGATTCAATTATTACTTCACCAGAAAATGCATGCTAAGTTTTAATTAAATAATTGATTTCATGCATGAATTARCTGTTCTTTGCTTTGTCTCTTGTGAGTGAAAAAAGCAGCTCTTTAACAGCATAAGGTTGTAAATATGATGTAAACTGCAGYTGTCCTGAGGCTGCAGGTCTGTGAGGTGGATCTGGGGTAAAACTGTTAATGTGAGCTCCCTGGCTGTGTCCACCCCTGCAGAAAATGAGTTTCTGAAACAAAGACAGCTTTAAGTTTTTGTCTCCTGGAAAAGTAAACGTTTTTTTAGCAGCA